AGAGGGAAGGGACCCAGGTTCGATTCCGATCAAGGGCATGTACTTTAGTTGCGGGAACATCCCCAGTGGGCACACTGCAGGAGGCAGCTAAATCGATGTTTTCTCTCTCATGATATTTCTAACTCTCTATCCCTACCCCTTCCTCTCTGTATAAAATCAATAAAATATATTTTTTTAAAAAAGAAAGAAAAACATTATTACAAATGTAAATGTTTCCATTAATATGTTGAACATTTAAATTTCCACCAAAAATGTGGGTCGCCCTCGTATTTTTGGCACTTTGCTGTCATTTTAGCTCAGTGCCTCTTTCTGAAACCCCCTGCATATACAGGCTTCACTTTATTTTGCTTGTTCACTCTCTGAAGGGTTTGCAGGTGACCATTATAGCAAAGTGGATTTTGTGTCTAAGGTGATGAGCCCAGATAGCAAATTTTCCCACTTATTCCCTGGGACTAAAGTTCGGAGGAAAGCCTTCTCTGGCCCAAATAGGCTTTTCCATAAAAAAGGCGGGAAAGTTTTCCTTTATGGTTCTACTTCTCAGCCATTTATATACTTTGTGAGTTCTCAAAAATGGAATTTTTAAAAAATATTTTTTTATTGATTTCAGAGAGGAAGGGAGAGAGAGAGGGAAACATCAATGATGAGAGAGAATCATCGATTGGCTGCCTCCTGCATGCCAATCGGGAATCAAGCCCACAACCCAGGCATATGCCCTTGACCAGAATCAAACCCAAGACCCTTCAGTCCGCAGGCTGACGCTCTATCTACTGAGCCAAGTCAGCTAGGGCAAGAATTTATTTTTTTTTTAAATATGTTTTTATTGATTTCAGAGAGGAAGGGAGAGGGACAGAGAAATAGAAACATCAATAATGAGAGAATATCATTGATTGGTTCCCTCCTGTATGCCCTACCGTGGGGATCGAGCCCGCAACCTAGGCATATGCCCTGACTGGAAATCAAACTGTGACCTCCAGGTTCATAGGTCAACACTCGACCACTGAGCCACACTGGCCGGGCAAGAATGGGATTTAGATGGGAGCTTTTTCTAATCTTGAGGATGGAATACTTCGGGGACCCTTTGTTCTCAGAGCCCTGGGCTATGAGAGTGGTAGGAAGGGCTGATCCAATGGGGGCCTCTCTACCTCTTTCTTTGCTTGCTTTTTGATGAAGGGCCTCATGTACCAAGAGGTTTTGGATTTGATCGAGTGGGAAACCCTGAAGAGTTTTCAAAGGGGGAGTAACATTTGCATTTTAGGAAGAATACTTTAGCTCAGCGGTTGCCAGCCGGTGGTCCATGAGGTCTGAAAGGTTGGCGACCACTGCTTTAGCTGTATTGGATGGATGGATAGATGGATGGATGGATGGATGGATGAATAGAATCAGGGAGTCCTATTAAGAGGTTGGTGAATGGTGGAAATTCAGGCAAGAAATGATGGTTCAGGTCCTAGAACAGCACCTGGAATACTAAATATTTGTCAAAAGAAAAAGAAAAAATGAGCCTGACCAATATGGCTTAGTGGATGAGCATCACCCATGAACCAGGAGGTCATGGTTCAATGCTGGCCAGGGCACATGCCCGGGTTGTGAGTTTGAGCTCTAGTAGAGGGCATGTAGGAGGCAGCCAATCAATGATTCTCTCTCATCATTCATGTTTCTACTTCTCCCTCTTCCTTCCTCTCTCTGAAATGTATAAAAACATATTAAAATTTTTTCTTAAAAAGTGTCCTGGAAGGCAAAGGACTCAAAGCATTTCAAGGAGAGGGTACTTGAGAGTGTCATATGCTGAAGAAAGATCAAGAAGTCTGAGCCAGCCCTAGCTGGTTTGGCTCAGTGGATAGAGCATCGGCCCAGGGACTGAAGGGTCCTGGGTTCGATTCCAGTCAAGAGCAGGTCAAGGGCATGTACCTTGGTTGCAGGTTCCCTGGCCCTGGTTGGGGTGTGTTCAGGAAGCAACCAATCGATGTGTTTTTCTCACATCGATATTTCCGTCTTTCCCTCTCTCTTCCACTCTCTCTAAAAATCAATCGAAAAATATATCCTCGGGTGAGAATTAACAATCACAAAAAAACAAAAAGATCTAAAGGGTCCCAGGTTCGATTCCGGTCAAGGGCATGTACCTTGGTTGCGGGCACATCCCCAGTGGGGAGTGTGCAGGAGGCAGCTGATCAATGTTTCTCTCTCATCAATGTTTCTAACTCTCTATCCCTCACCCTTCCTCTATGTAAAAAAATCAATAAAATATATTTTAAAAAATCAATGGAAAAATATCTTCGTGTTAGGATTAACAAAAAAAAAGGAGAGTGTGAATCAGAAAAATGTCTATGTCTCTTTAAAGGAGGGAAATTTTAATTTTTTAATTTATTGATTTTTTTTTTGAGAGAGGGAGAAAAACATTGAGTTGTTCCCCTTATTTATGCATCCATTGGTTGATTCTTGTATGTGCGCTGACCGGGGATGGAACCGCCATATTGGGATGTTAGGAATACACTAACCAAGTGAGCTACCTGGCCACTGCTAAAGGAGGGAAATTTTCAAAGTGTCCTCTAGATTGAACCACATAGTATAATTGTAAGGTGAGCAGAGTTTGGTGGAAGTGGCCATCAGAATCAGATAAAGTGGATGGATAGTGAAGGGACAGTCTGATAAGGCGCTTGAGGGCACGCGTGCTAATTGAGGCTGACCCTCCAGGTGCAGAGACTGCTCAGGCATGGTTATTAAAAAATATATATATCCCTAACCATTTGGCTCAGTGGATAGAGCATCGGCCTGCAGACTGAAGGGTCCCAGGTTCGATTCCAGTCAAGGGCATGTACCGTGGTTGCGGGCACATCCCCAGTAGGGAGTGTGCAGGAATCAGATAAAGTGGATGGATAGTGAAGGGACAGTCTGATAAGGTGCTTGAGGGCACGCGTGCTAATTGAGGTTGATCCTCCCTGTGCAGAGACTGCTCAGGCATGGTTATTTAAGATATATATATATATGTAAATAATGTATACACACACACACACACACACACACACACACACACACATATGGTGGGGCCTTGACTTACGAGTGTCCCGACTAACGAGTTTTTTGAAATACCAGCTGTCTCTCGGCCAATTTTTTGCATTGAGTTGATAGAGTAATTTGAGTTAATGAGCTCCTTAACGAGCTCAGTCTCAGAACGAATTAAACTCGTAAGTCAAGGTCCCACTGTACTCTCATCTCCGGTTAATTAAACTGTCCGGGGAACTCCATGGGTTGTTAATATATAAAGACAATAATGTTGAGCACTTTTATAATGAATGGAAAGGGGGCGTTGGGTAACAACATCAATGGAATCCCAATATTTTATACACTCATGGGGGGGACAAACGAAGAAGAAATGCCTGAAAAGCAAGTTTGCGTTGCAATGTTACCTCAGATAAGGGTTTAATCTCCAAAATTTATAGGGAACTCATAAAACATAACAAAAGGAAGATAAACAATCTAATAAAAAGTGGGAAAAGAATCTAAATAGACACTTCTCTAAAGTGGACATATAGAAGGCCAAAAGGCATATGAAAAAGTGCTCAAAGTCACTAATCATCCAAGAGATGAAAATCAAAATGACAATGAGGTACCATTTCACACATGTCAGAATGACTATCATCAACAAATTTCCCCAGTGCACCAGATGGCCTCGGAACCCTCCGCCGAGTGGGTGTGGTTCCCGGGAGGCCCCACCCCCAGAACGCTGCTCCAATTGGGGGTCACTCGTGTCCATGGCGACAGAGGGCGGTGGCAGCCAGCTTGCGGAAGGAGCCACCACCGCGGGGATCTCGCAACTAAGAGTGAACCCCGTGGGGAACGGGCTCCCCCTTGTGATCAGTGGGGACGGCAAGTCCCGCGGAAGGAACCAGGAGGCCGTCCCTGAGGCCCAGCAATGCCCAGGGAAGGAAGGGTGGACATGAGCGACCAGCCGAGTCCCGTCCCGGGCCGCTAGGAGTGGGCTCATCAGTCCCTCCGCTCTCCTCGGAACTCCCGGTGGGCAGCGTCCACAGGGGGCTCCTCCTCTGCTGTCAGCACCTAAGAGGCCTTAGCTAGCGGGTGCCTGGCCCCAGGGTGTACACGTGGAGAAACTGAGGCCGGCCTAGGGGACCTCTATTTTAAAAGCGAAGCCCCCCTCCCCCGGCCATCCCCCCTTCCCATTCAAAAACAAAGGAGGCTGTGGCATGGTCCCTGCCAGCTCTGTTCAGATCCTGCTGCCCCCCTGCGTGTTGTGTGGAGTGACCTTGGGTGACGCGGGGCTTGCCAGCCAGCCCAGCATCTCATGGGCGTCCCAGGACCGCCCCCCCCCCCCTGGAAACTGCCCGTTTTGCAGGGGGATGGTCTGTTCTGGAGGAGCAGCCGCCTTCCCTTCTCACACCAGGAAGGTCCTCAGGGTGCACCCCTCCAGGCCTGGAGGGGAGCCTGAGTATATTTCATCCCCGCCCCTGTCCCCCCAGAATCTCCAGGATGGAGCCAAGTCCCTCTAAGACCAGCGAATCAGAGGAAGACTCTGTTGAGGAAGAGGAGGAGTCCGAGGAGGAGTGCGACGATGGGGAAGCTGCCATCTCTCCGAACCCTGCTCAGCAGACACTCTCCAAGGCTGACAGTGGGGTCGCCTTATCCATTGTGGCCACGAAAATCCCCAAAATAGTCTTAACCCCGCCTGCCTTAGATGACTTAGAGGTCGGGAGAAGAAAGAGAAGGCGGAGATGCAGGTAACAGTCCCCTGCACCCCCTCACCTGCCCGGCTCCACAGTCACCCCCAGCTTCCCTTTGCTGTTGGGCTTGGGACCCAAGGTCTTCCCTTTATTTTATTTTATTTTATTAAATATATTTTATTGATTTTTTACAGAGAGGAAGGGAGAGAGATAGTTAGAAACATCGATGAGAGAGAAACATCAATCGGCTGCCTCCTGCACATCTCTCACCGGGGATATGCCCGCCACCCAGGTACATGCCCTTGACCGGAATCGAACCCGGGACCCTTCAGTCCACAGGCCGATGCTCTATCCACCGAGCCAAACCGGTTTCGGCTATTTTATTTTATTTTATTAAATATATTTTTATTGATTTCAGAGAGGAAGGGAGAGAGAGATGGAAACATCAATATTGAGAGAGAATCATTGATTGGCTGCCTCCCGCACACACCTCACCGGGGATTGAACCCGCAACCCGGGCCTGTGCCCCGACCAAGAATCAAACCCAGAACCTCATGGTCCATGGGACGATGGATGCTCAATCCACTGAGCCACCACAGCTGGGCTACCTTAGCTTCCTCCCTCCCCCCCAGGTCTTCCCTTTATTTATTTATTTATTTTTAAACTATATTTTATTGATTTTTTACAGAGAGGAAGGGAGAGGGATAGAGAGTTAGAAACATTAATGAGAGAGGAACATCGATCAGCTGCCTCCTGCACACTCCCCAGTGGGGATGTGCCCGCAACCAAGGTACATGCCCTTGACCAGAATCGAACCTGGGACCCTTCAGTCCGCAGGCCGACGCTCTATCTGCTGAGCCAAACCGGTCAGGGCAAGGTCTTCCCTTTAGCCTGGGAAAGATGGCAGGGAATACCAGAGCTTCGCTAATCTTTTGGTACAACAACAACAAAAAAACACCAAAATTCAGAACCATGGGGGTGGCTTAGTGTAGAATTTCAGCCTGTTTATGTCATCTTGGTCCTCGAGGGGCTTCTGGGGGAAATGAACTGCATTGTGGATTTGTTGGGTGTCTCTCAGCTGAGCACCTGGCAGCCAGGGGCCCGCCCTTCTATCCCCTTGTGCCTGATTGCTGCTCTTCCTCCCTCCCAGAGCCCTGGCCATCAACCTGACCAACTGCAGATATGAGAGTGGTAAGCGCCCGGCTCTGCTGTCACTTTCCCTTTGGGGATGGTCCCCCCCCAGTCAGGCTCCCAGCCCCTGGATCTTGTTAGTCTGGCCTGTGGCCTGTAACGGGCGCTCTGGCTCAGCCACTCGCAGCTGAGATATCCCTGTTCCGTTAGTCTCGGGAGTAGGGTAGGCATCTAATGTGAAAAAAATAGCTAGAATGAAAAAAAATTCACTGAAAGTCACCACTGCCCCCACCTTTTTCAGTTTGTTTTGGTTTTTTAAAATATATTTTTATTGATTTCAGAGAGGAAGAGAGAGGGAGAGAGAGATAGAAACATCAATGATGAGAGGGAATCATGGATTGGCTGCCTCCTGCACGCCCCACACTGGGGATCGAGCCTGCAACCCGGGAATGTGCCCTTGACCAGAATCAAACCCAGGACCCTTCAGTCCGCAGGCCGACGCTCTGTCCACTGAGCCAAACTGGCTAGGGCCAATTTTCAGTTTTTATCAGAGATGAGATGAAACTCAGTTAAAACCATTTTTTCAAGGAAGCTCTTGAGACGATTTCAGCAATTTTTAAAAATCACCAGCTGGGTCAGCCATCTCTTTCTCCCCTCTTATCCCCACTGTCCCCTGTGCAAGGGGCCCCCCAGTGTGTGAGGTGCCGGTGCGATCCCTACCAAGGGCTAGCTTTGCTGTTCCTTACCCAGCCCAGCCTGGGCCTCCCTGACCGCCCTCCCTCCCTCCCTCCCTCCCTCCGCAGTGCGGCGCGCAGCCAGAATGTGTGGCCTGAGGGAGGTGGGGGAAGACGAAGAGTGGAACGTGTACTGGACGGACTGCTCCGTGTCCCTGGAACGGGTCATGGACATGAAGAGGTTTCAGGTACAACCTCCTGACCCACGATCCTGAAGGGGCTGTCGCCCCAGAATGACGACTGCCCCCCTTGTGCCCAGGCACCCGAGGCTGTCACTCTGTGGCTATCCTCCTGTTCAGGGCAGGAAAGGCCATGACCAGGGGCTTCCACTCTGATGGAAATACTCTCCCCTTGGGTCTCTGGAACTTCTGTTGTGTGAAGAAGTGCCCGCTGGGCACATCCTGTCTCAATATCTGCTGTTGGCCTGGAGGCTCGTGTGCCCAACTGGCCCCCTCCAGGGCAGGTGAGCCGTCACAGGGGAAGGCTCGTTCAGTTCCGAGCCAGCTGAAGGGTCCAGCCTCGAGCAGCGTAGCCTAGCATCCCACCTCCACCAAGAGTCAGTGTGGGGCCCTAACCGGTTTGGCTCAGTGGATGGAGCGTCGGCCTGTGGACTGAAGGGTCCTGGGTTCCATTCCGGTCAAGGGCCTGTACTTTGGTTGCAGGCACATCCCCAGTGGGGAGCGTGCAGGAGGCAGCCGATTCATGATTCTCTCTCATCATTGATGTTTCTATCTCTCCCTCCCTCTCTGGAATCAATCACTGGGTGAGCCAATGAGAGAGCACAGAGCGGTGGGGGTGCTGCCTCCCACAATGGGGGCAGTAGCAGGGTTCCAGCGGGCTGCCGGGCAATGCCGTGCCCTCTGGGGGTGCCATGGCAGTGCATGCCGTGGGCCGGTTCCTAATTTCCTTTTCTCTTTGGGGAAATGTTTTCTCATTTGCTTTGTGCTGTTACACACCAGTTATTCTTACAGGACTGGTCCCTGGTGGTCTGAGGGATGGTATAAGGGTCAGTGGTTCTCAACCTTCCTAATGCCGCGACCCTTTAATGCAGTTCCTCATGTTGTGGTGACTCCCAACTTCATTGTTACAGATTGAACATAATGAAAGCATAGTGATTCATCACAAAAACAATATGTAATTATATATGTGTTTTCCCATGGTCTTAGGCAACCCCTGTGAAAGGGTCATTCGACCGCCAAAGGGGTCGCGACCCACAGGTTGAGAACCGCTGGTCTAGAAGGACCAAAATCTTGTCCAGCCCCTGCTCACTACCCCTCGTTTGCTAACCTCAGGGTTATGTGTGTTTGGGGAGAGGCTGAGGAGGGTTTTCTCGCCTGCCTTAGGGGATCTTCCTGTTTTCTCCTTGGGGTGCTAGGCAGTGTTTCCCTGCACTGACTTCTACCTGGACCTTCCCAGTCCTCCTCTGCTTTCTGGATGCCCAGGCCCCAGGAACAGCCGCTTCCTCTGGGGGGTAGTCTAACTCATTCGCTCCGTTTCAGAAAATCAACCACTTCCCTGGCATGACGGAAATCTGCCGCAAAGACCTGCTGGCCCGGAACCTGAAGCGCATGCAGAAAATCTACCCCCGGGAGTACAACATCTTCCCCCGCACCTGGTGCCTGCCCGCGGAGTGAGTGCCACCCGGGATGGGGGGAGGGTTCGCCATCTCAGTGCCCTCCAGACTCCGGATGGATGACCTTGAATGACCTTGAACGTCTCGGGATGGAAGTGGAGTGGTC